GTACCCATAGTCTGAGCTAGTTGGGAGGCTGAGGCAGGAGGAACATTTGAGCCCAGCGTTCAAGACCAACCTAGCCAACATAGCAAAACACTGAATAATAAAAAAGTCAACCATAAAAAATTGAAATTATAGTTGAATGTGGAGGCACATACTTTTAATCCCAGTTCTCTGTGAGGCTGAAGCAGGAGGATCACAAGTCAAGCCAACTCTGGACAATTTAATGACATGGGGAGATCTTGCCTCAAAATAAAAAATGAAAAAAGGCTTGAAGATGTAGCTCAGTGCAAAGGCTCTGGGCTCAGTTCCCAGAACCACCAAAAAAATTGAAATGATGATATATATAGAATAGTTTTCATCCACAGTTCGGGGCTCCTAAAATCCCTTTCCATGGCAGTCATAGAAACTAACATTTCTCTTCTCCAAAGTGGGTTGTAGAAATTCTAGTCTTCCACCACCATCCCAGCCAGCACAGCCTGTAATCCCACCATTTGGGAGGCTGAGGGAAGAGGATTGCCATGAGTTTGAGGCCAGCCTGGGCTACATAACAAGACTTTGTCTCAAAAAAAAAAAGAAAAAAAGAAGGACAGCCCCCCCCGGCCCCAGGCATGCCCACCAGCCACCCATGGAGCCATGTGGGCAGAACCCCCAGGACTGACTGAGCCCAGCTCTGTCTGTCTGGCTACACCTCCTTACGACCAGGAGCTGCTAAGGACCCCGAGGCACATCCAACAGCTGCCCTTGGAGCCGTGTGGGCACCTGCAACAACAGAGCCCCCCACACACACTGCCTCTGGCCTCTTGGCTGTGCAGCTGCCTGGTTCCACACTACAGAGGCACAGGGGGACATAAAGGCCATTGTCCTGAGCTGCAGAAGTGAACAAGAGAGAGAGGGCCTCTCTCAGGCTCCCTGATAAGTGAAGCCCACTGCAAAAGTGAAGAGATTCTCTGAAATAAAGGCACACCAAACCACCATACTTTTTCAACCCTGCAGGAGGACAGGGAGCTCAACTTGGGACTTGCAGCCAGAAATCTGCCTAAATCTCACGAGTCTGGGACTGGCTTACTGAGACTCATTGACTTATAACTGCACAATGCTGCCCACGGTGTCTATTGTAACAGCAGAGAGAAACCCTGAAGGAGGCCCTTCATTTTTATCTTTTATTTGTTATTTTCAAAATTACCACTATTGTTTTTGCTCTTATTTTTAATTTTTTTCCTCTTTTTAAATTTTTATTTTTTTCTTTTTCTTTCTTTTCTCTTTTCTTTCTCTCTCTCTCTCCCCCTCGCTCCCTTGCTGTCCCACATTGTTCTTCATCTCCCTTTGTGTTCCTGTTCTGGCCCCAATTCATATTTCTTCTTTCTTTCTTTCTTTCTTTCTTTTTTGGTACTGGGGATTGAACTCAGGACCTTGTAGCTGCAAGGAAGGGGATGGAACCACTGGGCTAAATCCCTGGCCTATCTTATTTTTCTTTTCTTCTCTTTCCTTCTCTCAACTGTGTCCTCTGGCCTCACTGCTAACCTTCCCCTATCCTTCTACCTACCTATCCCTCCCTCCCCA